TCTTAAAAACGGTCGTCCTCCGCTCCTCCCTCCGGTCATGCTCGATCCCGTGATAAGAGTATGACATGCAAAAGAAAGGAGTCAGTATGAGCAAATTACACATGCAATACAAATCCTAACATTAAAAAGCACTTACTTGCAGAGCCATGCCGGATATACCCAACGACAACTCCACATCGTTCATCGCCTGTAGCACTGTATTTTCAGAAGCCACGCATAGGGGAGCAAAGGACGACACCGCCCGTTCTGAGTTGGCCAAAAGGTCGTAATCCACAGGAATGACTATGTGCCGGTTAGGACCCTTCGTCCTTACCTCCACACGAGTATTCCTCTCTAGAAAGGCACGTACCTCCTCAGGGTCGACATCCGATTCAGAGTCGTAGCCCTCCGCGGGGACCGCCCTACTTCCCCCGACCGTCGAGGATGCGCCACCTTCTGCGGCTCGTGTAAGCTCTCCACTACCCCGAACCGACTCAACCCCAGAGGGCCTCCTCTCCATAACGGCACCTGTCGTGAAAATGATCTTTGCGTCTGGTGCAAGCGCAGACTTCGCTCCCAAAGCGATGAATTATTCCGGTCCAACGTCAGCGACGGCGGCCTTCCCGATTTCCACCCTTCGCCTTTTCCTCGACGGTGACTCCTCGCCGTCAGACGGCTCATCTACGAGATGATAGATGGGATGGGAAGAGATCTCATCCTGCATGACGACAGTTTGAGGAGCAGAGCTCATTGGCGGAACTTGAGTTCGATTTCCTTGAGCGGACTCAGCCAAGGCAAATTGCATTCCAGCCGACGCGATCGCCTGGCGAAATGCAGGCACTGGAGCCTTCTTCTTGGAAACTTACCTACCTAGCGCCAAAGAGTGTCCACGTCAGAGAGCAGTGGTAAACAACAACAAAAAAAGCTGAAGTAGAAGTGACACTTACTAGATGGGATTTTGGGTCCAAAACGTTTGTAAAAGGACAGCCAATCACGAATTCCCACGATGTGGGGTAACACGCGAGCCACCCAATCTTCCATATCAGAAATGGGAGAAGGTGCACGCCTCTCAGCTGAAAAGCAAGGAAGCCGCAAGTGAGCCGACAATGAAAAGGCGAATGAAAATAACGAGCAAACTTTAAGATACGATTATAGTTCCATTGCTCGGGAAACCCAGTCGGGTCCGCTACTAGGTGTTTGGTCTTGATAAAGAAGTACTTATGCCAGAACTTCCGATTCATTTTGTCGTCCATCCCGAACACCAACCCTCCGGTCCTACGATGCCGTAGGTGTATCAGAGTACCTCTATAAAAACTAGGAAAAAATAAGTGCAGCAAGTGGCGAACATCGGCCTCACAGCCATCCAACTCCGCATACTTCGTCAGCACCAAGAAAGCTTTATACAAATAAGGAGATTGTTGTGTCGGGCAAACATTGTAAAACTGGCAAAATTCCTCCGCTAGCAGAAGGAGAGGAAGAGGATAACCAATCAAGAATAGGTAGACATAGAAGGCACAATATTCGGGTCGATGAACCTCCACGATGTCGCCTCCGGCCGGAACAATTTCAACATGGGGAGGAATGCGATATTTGGACCGGAGGTCGGCTATGTGAGGCGGCCCCATCTCAGAAAGCCTCTGAGCGGGTGCGGGAGCAGGCTCCCTTGGAAAATCATTCCTAACCAAAGGAAGCTATCGTCCTCTTCAGCCATGAATTCCTCACCACCGGGAGGAAGAGCCACCGATAATAGTGTGGCATCGAAAACCTCGTCATGAATATGAGGGGATTGTGACATATTTCAGCGATGAAACGTATACAACCAAGTCTGAAGAAGGAGATAACAACTAGGTAAGAAAGAAGGAACCGGAACTGAAGAAGCTGTAAGACACCGAAAGTAGAAATTGGAGAAGAAGATCAAAGAAGAACAGTACTCATGCAAAGTGAGAAATGGTGAAAACTTCCGAAAAATGAAACTCCCCCACTTATTTATAGGGTTGGGTGGCACGAGAATCGGAGCAAAGGACTGTCAATGACACAAACCAAAGCGGCAGACGCACAGACGCTGCATCGGGAAGACGCCTAATGATGATGCACGTGGCCACGACGTCACCTCACGATAGCTACAATTATATTGCTATGTGAATCCATTAAATAGAAAAATACTAACAACTCTTCCTAACTAGAGCTAAGCAACATTGTATATGTTACGCAAGAAAAAAAAAATGCTCGATCGGTGCACTAAGTATTCTGCGTTTATGCAGGGTTCGGGGAAGAACCGTATTTGAACGGGATGTGACGTAGGCAGCCTACAAATAGGTGATTCCACGACTCGAACCCATAACGTATAGATCACAGAAAACAACTTTATCATTGCTCCAAATTTCCCCTTCAAATTTATGCAAGTCAAGTGCTAAAAATTAAAGCTCCATTTGTAATCTGTTGCAGGATTAATGGGAATTGTTGAAAGCTGAAACTTGGAAGGAAATGGGAAGGGTTCTCGAGAATCCATCAGAATACAGTTGTGCACTCCGACCCTGCAATTGGATACAGTCACTTTATTAAATTCTCTACTGCTAGACGGCAACTAATTTCAAACTTGGATTGACTTGAATTTTCTCCAAAGATGAGTAAATACTCAAAAACAGATGACTGTTTTCTGCAGCTTCGCCTGTTACTCACTAGCTACAACTTTATCCACAACCACAAACATGTCAATTTAATATAAAATCATTTAAGTTTGTCGTATTATCTTCTCGACTGTGTAATGCACGTCAAAAGCTATGAATGTTAATAGTAATATGCAAGAACTATATCTACTCTACAGTTTGATAGTACCAAGAAAATTCTCTTGTGGATGTGAGTTCAATTTTGGTTATTTTTCTTTCGCAATTCCCTTTTTCTTAATGAAGGAAATATTGTTTTTAATGAGTGATATGTAAGACCCAAGGATGACATAATTTTATGACTTTAAGTCCCTAGCGTTCATATATACTACATATTTTGCTGCTACTTTAAGACCATAAAAAAAAAGCCCAAAAAAATCTTCTATTAATGCAGTTCGTGGTTAGTTACTTAATCCAAAAAAGATTTAACTTTTATACATATAGACAATATAAAATTTGTTTAAACCATAAATATATTTTTACATATTATAGTCAATAGCGAAACTAGAATTTTCACCAGATTAAAGGAGTTCATAAAATAAAAATATGAAATATGTGGAGAAGCTATATATATATATATATATTGAAATTTTCAGCCAAAGGTGGTTTACATGAACCCCTCTCGTCCCTCCAGCTCCGCCACAGGTGTAATAAGTAAAAGAGGAATTTTCAGAAACCACTATTATTTAGTGGCTATTAACTTTCTATATCTACCATATACTGCATAATTACTTCCAATAACTATTATTTAGTTGTTACGCGACTGTATTCGCTGTATTCGCGCTACATGAATACAGTAGCAGAGTTCGCCTAAAAATAGGAAAGTCTAGTTGTGCGACTGTATTCGTTGTAATTCGCCTAAAAAATAGGGGAACCCAGCTATTTAATCATGGAAAAAGAATCAATTAGTGTGTATCACTCCTAATTTAACTCAACAAAATTAATTCTACATAAATTTCGCTGCTACACGACTGTATTCGTTGTATTCGTGCTACTGTATTCATGAATACAGTAATAGGGGAGTCTAGTTGTACAACTGTATTCACTGTATTCGTGCTATTGTATTCATGAATACAGTAGCGAAATTCGCCTAAAAAAATAGGTGAGTCCAGATTAATAACGGAAAGAGGATCAATTAGGGTGTATCACTCCTAATTTAACTCAACAAAATCAATTATACATAAATTTCGTTGCTACTGTGTTGTATTCCATGTATTCGCGTGACTGTATTTATAAAAACAGTAACGTAATCAATAAATAGGGTGTATACTATTCTATTCAATTCGATTATATACATTGTATTTAATTCACAGATACTCATTGTTCACTATTATATATTGTATTCAATTCACCATATTTTATTTTATTTTATTCAAACAACAAAAAATCACAGAACACAATGATATTCGGTTGTATTAAAAAAATACAAACCTTCGGAGTACATAGATACAAGCGAAAAATAATGTATTTATATAAAAATACAATATATTTGAGTGTATTTGTACAGAATACAATGTATTTGTATCATTCTATGTGACTAAAAAAATAAGAAAGAGAAGAAAGTTCGTTGGAGATGGCTTTTTCCGGCCAAGCAAAATATTGAATACATTGTACTAAAACTAAAAATAGAGACGATTCGGCCCTCAAATCTTCTCCGGCGTAGCCATGGCCGGATCTGTTCGCCTAAGAGGATGAGCCAATAGTGGATGATGACGCCGAAGATCAAAATTGAGTGCTTTAGTAAGTATACCCCGTGTAACCCTCTTCGAAGTTGTTGAATCAGCCATTGAAGACGAAATTTGAAGTTTCTTCCTCAAAACCTAACAATGGCGAAAATTTAAAAAAAAAAGTGAAGAGAAAAGAAGAATAGCAGAGTAATTTGGCGTGAATCGGCCAAAAGCTTTACCAATTATCACGAACTTTTGGCGCAAAAACGTTGAGGATCAATTCTGAGAAATATGTTCCTACAATCTTAGTGTGAGAGAGAGAGAGACCGTGGAGAGAGAAAGAAGAAAAATCTTGCCGTGATTTGAGAGAGAAAGTATGTTAACTGAAAGAAAGAGAGAGAAAAACCATAACTAGGTCTTTCACGCCTATATGGTAGTGTAAACAATAAATACTTATTTTGCTATAAAATATAAAAGGTAGCTATAGATAATAACATTTTAAAATCGTTTTGATTTATAATAAATAGGATGTAATAGTTTGCTATAAGAGGTAAAATTTCCTAAATAAATAACATTATCTTTTTGGGTTACTAATTAATCATACTTTTTATTAATTATTACGTGTAATTATTCTATGCTTATAAAAGGTAAACTCTTTCAAATGTTACAATGATTTGTCTCAAATGAATAAGCGTGAAAAAGATAATTAAACCGTTATCAATAAGACCAATTAACTTTGACTAAACCTCTCTGGTCACGCTCCTCGTCCCATGTCGACATATAATAACTCTCTCGCTATTCTCTCAGTATAAGACAGTTCACACTTCGACACTTTGTCGAAAGGTAGAAAAACCCCACTCCATTATTAGACACAGAGAAGGCAGAGAGACAAAAAGAATGGGAAAAAGTTTTAAGCTTCGGTTCTCTAAAGTCATTGCCTCCTTCCATTCCTGCCGTTCCAAAGACTCTTCTACTCTTCCTGAAAATCCTGTTCCTTCTAATTTCTTCTCAAAATCATCACATACTAAGGCCATGACTACAAAACTCATCACCCTCGATTTCCCTGTCGTAAATAACTCACCTCCTTCTTCCTTCAAACGCCACGTGTCAGAAACCATGGTTTCTGTTGGCTGTGGGTTTAAGTCTCGCTCACAAGAATTCAAGTGGGAGAAAGAAGACAAGTTTCACGTGGTTTCCTCCTTTGAAGATTCTGAAGGGGAGAATTGGGCCTTACGACCACCTTCTACTCCTCCAAGATTAGCCGTTGAGAAGAAGAAACGCCGAGTTAAAAAGACGAACAAGACAAAAGCCAGACTCCGAATGAGCACTTCCTCAGCTGATGACAGTGGGATTTTAAGCACTACTGAAACTTGGGATAACTATAACGAAGAAGAAGATGAAACTGAAACCTTGGTTTCATCTTCGAGAAGCTTCGATTTCTCAACTGATGACTCGTCTACAGATTTCAACCCTCAGTTGGAAACCATATGTGAGACCGCTACTATACGGCGTCGTAAAAAGAGGAACAGAAAAACCAAGAGGAGAGTGAAGCACTCAAGACGAAGCTTCTCGTCTTCAAAGGGTAAAAACATGGTCGCATTTATTTGTGTTACCATTTTATCTTTAACTAGCTTAAGATATTATATTTGATTATATTATGTCTCAATACACGTCCTGTTACGTGTGGATCTAATTCTTTAACTTGTTTTACTCTAATATCATGTTGAAGTGCAGGAACCAATTTATATTCCAAGCGTAAATTATTAGAGTAAAAAATAGTAGTATTTAATTATTTTATGTTTCAATAGGTAGAAGGTCGTCAGTTTCTACATCATCGGACAACGAGTTGCCAGCGAGGTTGTCGGTGTTCCAAAAGCTGATATCGTGTAGCGTGGATGGGAAAGTGAAGGAGAGCTTTGCGATAGTGAAGAAATCACAAGACCCGTACGAGGATTTCAAGAGGTCAATGATGGAAATGATTTTGGAGAAGCAAATGTTTGAGAAGAATGAGTTGGAGCAGCTTTTACAGTGTTTTTTATCACTGAATGGAAAGCATTATCATGGGTTGATTGTTGAGGCTTTCTCCGAGATCTGGGAGACCTTGTTTTTAGGTAATGGTAATGGTAATGGTAATGATAGAGCTAGAAATATGTCAACTCATCCCCCTCCACGTACTGTATGCAGAACCATTTGAATCCACTTTCTAGTTTAAATGTTTTCCTCTATCTTCATCTGTCAAGATTTAGGGGTTTAATTATATTGGTTAGAGTTTAATTTCTATGCATTGCCCATGTAAAAATTATTGAAATGTCAATTTCTTAAATTGCAGTAGTGATAGTGTAAATATCCTTGTAAAGTGTCAATATAACTTAAACCTTATTTGTTGTGTACAAGCACTAGATATAATTAGCTACTTAAAACAATGAGTAAGTCGAATGTGAAGCGTTTAAGGTTGCGTACTTACTATATTAATTATCTTTGGCTTCTGAAATCTGAAACTTGATTTTTCATGAAGCGGAGGATAAGGAAATTAAAGAGAGGTGCAGGGGATGAAGACTTTCGATAATATGGCAGTTGCATCAGTTACTTTGTACTAGCTCCTTCCCGATTTTAGCCTAGATTAATTAGGATTACAAAGATGGCGAGTTAATCTGAACTTATGGTATAGAATATACTAGAGATGTTTTAGCTTAATGATTTCATTTACTTTAAAATTTTAGATCAAGAATAATCACAGAGAGAGAGAGAGAGAGGCACGTAGTTTCCTATTTGTATAATTCCTAACCCTACAATTTTCTTAATCATTTCTGAAGTTTTCAAGTCATGTCTACAGCAATTTTAAACTCTAAACTAAAATGAATATATGTTAATTATCTCGTCTTTGAATTCTTGGACCCCAACAAGATTACAAAAAAAACTTCTTTTTTCTCTCGGCGCACATTAGGTGCTAACTAACCTGCGCCTTCACCGGAAATGGGAGGAAGAGGAAGATCAAAGAAGAACACCAGCAAAACATCAGTGGTAGAAATGAAATTAACTGATATCATCACGAGATAGCAAGGAAAACAAACAGCAAAAGCTAAAGAGAAAATGCAAGAGGAAGAAGATCCGGATCTGGAAAGTGACAATGACCTAAATTGGCCAGATCTAAGCAGCACTCGAACTAAATTGACAACACCAGTGAGCCTAGTCACCATTGCGACACCGATGATGAAAGCCGGAGTCAAAGGAGTAGCTGCGCCGATGACCTCAATTGGCGGTGCGAGTACGAGCAAATTGCAAAGCAATGGAACAATAAATGCAAAGTTACCAAAGGACCAGAGCAGTACTATAATTGACAATGAGAAGAACATGCAAGAGGCGACAACAACACAGATTGGAAATGGGGGAAGATCCCGGGCTGGATTGTTTAGTGTGAACAAACTTGCAGCTAAAGGTATGAATCTATCATATATTCTTCTGGTGATACAGGATGGGAAAATAGTAGTTCAATTGCTGGATGAAGACATTGCAAAGGAGAATCAGAAGTGGAATCGAGCTATAATATTGTACGTGGTGGGAAATACTCCAACTATTTGAGCAATTGAACGATTCATAGCAAGTCAGAGGAGCAAATCCAGGAAACCAAAGGTACTCTTTCCTAATGATATGGGTACTTCATAATTTTGATGAATAGCTGTGAAGAAAGGGATGAAAAGATACTGAATGGCCCGTATACCATGAATATCGACGGAAGGGTTTTATTTCAGTGAGGAAATACTCAAAACCATTCCTCTATAGGTTAAATCTCCTAAGTTGCCACTTAGCTACTGGAGTAATCAGGCCCTAAGCAAAATTGAGAGTGGGTTAGGGAAGCCTTTGTATGTTGATGCATGTACTACAATAGCTGACAGAGTATCATATGCCAGGGTGTTAATTGAAATGGACATTACTAGGCCACTACCAGGATAAATCAAACTACATGACCCTAAGGGAAATGGTATCGAGCAGATAGTGTAATATGACTGGAAGCCTCAGTACTGTTAAACGTGTTTCCAAATTGGCCACTCATGTAGAGACCAACAAAAGCAGAACAAGAAGGGAGGACAACAAAGAGGTAATGACTAGAAAATAAAGCAAGAATGGAGAATAGTGAGGGTACTTGATCCTAAGGTGAATAAAATTGATGTTCATGGTAGGTTCATGGACCAAATGGAACTAGAAGGTGAAGCAATGCCTATTCAGCAGAAAAATGAAGAGTAATGACAGCTTGCTAGAGGAAAGTCTGCATCAAAAAAGCATATGGGAACCACAAGAAAGAATGAAGTAGACATTGGTAATTCTTCTAAAGCTCTAGCTGACACTGACCAGAAGATTGTGCAATTATCTGAAGCTCAGGGAATAAGAGGGCAGTGGAGTACAAATGAAGGAGGAGGTGGACCCAAAATAAATACTATATCATGATGAATATCATAACATGGAATGTTAGGGGTATGAATAAAGTGTATAAGCAAAAAGAACTAAAAACAATTTGTAGGGAGAATAATGTGGTAGTAATGGTTGTCCTTGAAAATAGAGTTAAGGCAAATAATGTTGATCCAATAATGAGAAAGGTATTCAGTAATTGGCAATGGGCTGCTAACTATGATGGGGCTCCAGGAGGCAGAATTTGGGTAGTATGGGACCAAACAAAGGTGAAGTTTGAGGTGATTCAAGCTCATGAACAATACATAGCAGGGAAGATGAGCATGAGGAAATACAACATCAAATTAAATTTTGTTGCAGTATATGAAAAGCATAGCATACAAGACAGGAAGATACTATGGGAGGATCTGAAAGGAACTATGAATGGAGTCACTGGCCCAACCTTAGTAATGGGGATTTCAATAATATACCGGGGAACCCAGTACAAGAGGTAGAGGTGAAAGACTTAAAAAATTTCATAATCGATGCTGGACTAGATGATCTCAGAACAATGGGGAGAAAGTACACCTGGACAAACAATCATGTTCATAGTAGAATTGTGTCACGACCCGAATTTCCCGTCCTCGGGAGTCGTGATGGCGCCTACTCGTGAAAGCTAGGCAAGCCATCCAATTAAAATATTTACCTTATTTCCATTTTTATTCCGTTAACAATTAAGAACCAACATTTAATAAAAAATAGAATTTAATAAGCGGAAGACTGAATTGTAATGGTTTGATAATACTACCAATACCAATCCATAACAAATCTACCCAAGACTGGTGTCACAACTTTACAGACGGTCTAGGAGTACTACAAATAAAGGTCTGAAGAAAAGTAATGCAACACTGTCTCTGGAAATACATGAATGAAACAGGATGAAAGATAGAAGGAGACGCCAAGGCCTGCGGACGCCTGCAGGACTACCTCGGGTCGCCTGATGAGCAAGAAGCAGCAATCTCACTACGGTCCGAAAGCAATAGCACCGGGATCTGCACAAAAGAGTATAGAGTGTAGTATCAGCATAACCGACCCCATGTGCTGGTAAGTGCCTAGCCTAACCTCGGCGAAGTAGTGACGAGGCTAGGACCGGACTACCAAATAAACCTGTACAGTTAAATCATATACAACGGAAAAATAAAAGCAGAAATGTACATCAAGGATGGGAGGGGGAAACATGCTACGGGGAAACATCAAATGATAACCGGAGAACAACAGATAAATATAAGAAACACCATAACTCAATTTTCAACAAGAATCAGTAATCAAACAAATGCACGGCATCACCCTTCATGCTTTTACTCTCGTCCTCACCATAAGAATCAATATAATCTGCACGGCGTCACCCTTCGTGCTTTTACTCTCGTCCTCACCATAATATCAATATAATCAGCACGGAATTGTACATCGTGCCGCACGGCATCATCCTTCGTGCTTTAACACTCTTCATATATCATACACGGCATCACCCTTTGTGCTTTAACACTCTCTCACCAAAACAATGCACGGCATCACCCTTCATGCTTTAACACTCTTCCTCACCCAAGCAACAATCACAAAGCAATAAGGGCAAGGAGATCAACAAATTCACAATTAAATCCCGGCAAGGGAACAATAGTACAACAATCATATCCCGGCAAGGGAAAATAAGATCAAACAAGAACATCCCGGCAAGGGAGATAACATTAACAATAATATCCCGGCAAGGGAGACAATATCATAATCCTTTTTTCTTTTTTACATTTACTTCACAACTCGATTCACAATTTGAGCCAATGCTCTATAAGGTTTAATTGCCAATTATACTTCCACAAATCACTTTACAACTTGAGCCAGCGCTCTTCAATGTTCAAATACCAATATTCTTTTCACAAGTCTTGCTCAACAATAGTCATCATCACATTAAGCATGAACAACACAAACGGAGTCACATTAATCATAACATAAGACTCACGGGCATGCTTGACACCAACGTATAGATACTCGTCACCATGCCTATATGTCGTACTCAACAAATAACACATACCAAATAGGACACAACTCCTAATCCCTCAAGCTAAGGTTAGACCAAACACTTACCTCGATGCCACGAACACAATTCAAGCCTCAACTATCGCTTTACATCTCGATTCCACCACCAATTCGCTTGTATCTAGTCACTAGTTACTTAACTATATCAATGAATGCTAAATTAATCATTTCTAATGCATAAAAATAGATTTTCTAAAGTTTTTCCCAAAAAGTCAAAAATCGACCCCAGGCCCACATGGTCAAAACCCGAGTTCGAACCAAAACCCGATCACACATTCACCCACGAACTCAAATATATAATTTGTTTTGAAATCGGACCTCAAATCGAGGTCCAAATCCCCAAAATTTGAAAAGGCTAAGTTCTACCTAAAACACCCAATTTCCCCCATGAAAACCTTTGATTTTGAGTTGAAATCATGAGAAAAGATGTTAAAGATTAATAAAAACAAGTTAGAAATGACTTACAATCAATTTGGAAGAGTACTTGTCTTTGAAAAATCGCCCAAGAGTGTTTTGGTTTTGAAAGGGTTTGAAAAATGAAAGATTTTCGGCTAAGTTATGAATTTGCAGGTCGCAGATATCGCAATTGCGACCAGGGTTCACAATTGCGAACCCTTCAGGACCTGCTACTCTCGCATTTGCGACCACTGTTCGCAATTGCGAACTCGCATTTGCAATGAGGGAGTCGAATTTGCGACAAAGGGGATTTCTGGGCCTCTTTGTATTTGCGAAGAAATGATCGCATTTGCGATCAGCCCTGCCCAGGCCTTCTCTCGCATTTGCGATGGGTTGTTCGCATTTGCGAGCCAGGCTTCGCAAATGCAAAGCTTGCAGACCTACAACATACCAGCAATTTC